CAAGCTGTGGGGAGGCCCTCATGGCAGAGAGCTCCCTTCCCCAACTGCAACCAGCAGTGGAAACATGAGTGCCCTCTGATGCTTTTTGTTGTGCCAGAAACTCTGTATAAAAGGAGCCCCCTGCCATGACCAGGCCTGGACCCAGCAAGCCTAAGCCAGGAAGCTGAACAAGGCCCACCCGACTCCTTTTCCAACCCCACCCCTGTGCCACAGTTCCCAGCACAACAAAAAGCAGCACAGGGAACTCACACTGCCACTGCTGAGGGAAAGGAGCTCCCCTGCCAAGCAGACCCCCCACCCCAGCTTCCCAACTTGGGCCTATGGTGGGGGCCTCCTATCCCCCAGCTGCAGGCAGCAGTGGCAGTAGGAGTTCCCTGCACTGGTTTTTACCATACTGGGAACTCTGGTGAGGGGGCATGTAAAAGGAGCCCAACTGTATCATAAGCCCAGCCCTGCCCCCACGAAAACCCATGTCATGAAACTGGGGGGGGAAGGGGGGAGGCCAGCAGTGGGGGCTCCTTTACTACCTCCCCACCAGAGTTCCTGGCATGGCAAAAAACAGTACAGGAAACTCATGCTGTCACTGCTGGCAGGGTGTCCTCTGCCATGAGGGCTCCCCCACAGCATCTTGGCTAGGGTTGGGGGGGGGGGGGGGGGGGGGGGAAGTGGCCAGGACAGGTTTACACAGTAGGTATGTGGGGCCAGGCCAGATCTTCTGCTGACAGTCCCCAGCTGGCAGGGGGTGGAATGGGAGGGAAGCTCTGGCAACCTCCTGGGAGGCATGTGGTAGCACCATCTGCCTGCTGACCTCAGCCAGTGCAGGAAGATACCATCCTTCCCCACCCGACTGAACAGCATATGTCTATTCAATTGGAATAAAGGTGCTATAAGTTGCAGTGTAAGTAAACTGCAATAGTTAGAACACTTTCTTCCAGGGGCTTTTTGAACATCTGTACTCATCCAGTGTGTTGCATACACCTTCAACATCCCCAGTTAAATTAACTGTAGAATCTAACATGTAGGAAGCAGTTTGATTTTCAGTTCTCAATTTGAGTCTCCCATATTTGCACTTAAAACATTCATCTCAACTAGAAATTGAAAACATTTGTTTTTCTACAAGCCACTGAGAAAGAATATGGAACCCCGCAATACCATTTTACAGAGTCAGTTATATGCTTCATGTATTTCATTATCTTTGCTATGATTTGACCGGAAAAATGAAAGATACCAATATGACACATTTTGTGAAGTTAAGAATTACTTCATATCACAAAAAACATCAAAGGCAGTTAGTGGGATGACAGAAGCTGGCTTTTCAGGCATGGAGACAAAGTAATATTCACTATCTCACAGCAATTTATTTTCCATTAAGATCTCTGCAACTGAGCATAAAATCTATAACTACATAAATGGTTTGAAATCTACAAGCATTGCTTTAAAGTTCTTCTGCCAGAATGAACAAATGTAACAAAGGTGAACTACAGATCATACTGGAATTTATGCTGTCTTTTATTATTTGTTATTTTATTATTTCTCTCTCAGAAGTTTGTTTTCTTTTTTTCCTGGTGGTTTACTGTTTTGTATTATAATTATCACCTCTTGGCTTCCCTCTGTTTGTTGGAAGCTTTTTGATAGTATGTGGTAGGTTTATACCTTCCAGCTCTACCAAAAATTTAAAAGGTGTTAACCTGTTAGTCCAATCACTTGATTTAGTTGTTCAAGTACTGTATAAGTCTTCCAGACTTCTATATTGGATACTGCTCATTTTAAAAACTTGTGTATATACTGGTATGTACAGAGAACAGGCCCAGGCAGTGCCAGTGTCACACAGTATCCAGGGCAACTTGCTACTTAACGTGTGATTGCCTGCTGTTTCATAGTCTTCTTCCTAGCAGGTTTCTGAGAATATTGCCTACATGCATCCATCCTCTCTTCTTTGATTGGAAGCTACAGAGAGGCTTCCTTTGAAAGTTTTGTCCTGGAAGCAGAGTCTTTTCTTTGCAATTTGATATTTCAGAATGCTCTAAAATCCATGTGTTCCCAAGATTATTTTGATAATTGATGTGCCTTGCTAGAGCTATGATAAAGGTAGTTATGTTAGTTTCAGGAAATTTGCTAGAGGAGATCCTCAGATATAGCTGACTGGAAAAATAACTGAATTTAATATTCAAGTTGATCTAGCAAACATGTGCCTCCAGGGAGTGTCTTGAAAATTGGCATAGCACAAAAAGGGATAGATTGAGTTTCATAGACATCAGGGCTGGAAGGGACCTCGGAAGATCATCGAGTCCAGCCCCCCGCCCAAAGGGCAGGAAGTCAGCTGGGGTCATAGGATCCCAGCAAGATAAGCATCCAGTTTCATCTTGAAGGTGTTCAATGAAGGCGCTTGAACCACCTCCGGTGGCAGGCTGTTCCAGACCTTGGGGGCTCGGACAGTAAAGAAGTTCTTCCTTATGTCCAGCCTGAAACGATCTTGAAGTAGTTTGTGACCATTCAACCTCGTCATCCCTTGGGGCGCTCTGGTGAACAAACGTTCCCCCAGATGCTGGTGGTCACCACCTGAGTTGGTGGTATATTGATGCATGTCATCAACTTATTTGTCAATAATGGGTCATTTGGTTCCCAGAATAATATCTTTCTCTTCCCCCAGATTAGAAAAGCTCATCCCTAGAAAAATACCTACATGTTTCTTCATAGACATGGAAGACATCTATTTGGATAGGATCATTTGTAAGACATGTGATTCATGTTTACTGGAAAGATTGTTAGGAAAATAACATCCCTAACACTAGAGCAATGCCTTCAAATAGCAAGGACAACAGTCTAAGGAAAGGATGAAAATAAATCCAGATATGGATAAAGAACAAGTACATTAGCTCAAGCACCGGGAACCAAGGCAAAAAGATGAAAATGGAGGCATCGTGGTCCAGGTTATATATTTTGTAAAGTAAGATGGAAGACAGAAAGGTAGAAATGCTACATGGTTGCAGATGCTGTGACAATAAAGCAGGCAAAAATAAACCTGGGTGAAATCAACTGGAGTTTAGTCTGCTCTAGGCCTGTGACACACATAGGTAGACACATGTTAAATTATCTTTCTGGATAAAGCCTGTGTATGGTCTCAGCACAGCACGGTATAGCATAGCATGAAAAGGGTTAATGGGTAGATAGTGGAGAGTAGGACCCTGTCTCAATCCACATGTTTGTCTGGGCTAACCAATCAATACACAGGGCTAGTCTACAACGCAAGGATAAAAAGGAAGGCTGGGGAAGGCTGAAAAGAGATCTATGACAAAGTGGATCTCTGAGGGTTGATAAGATCACTCAGAAGTAGCTTTGAGGCTTAGAAGAACTTAAAGACTGAGTGAGAGCTCTGAGGTTCAAGGATACCTGTACACACCACAGGGTTTAATCCTTAAATTAAATAGGTTAAACTATTAAAATTTAAACTTGTTTATTTCAGAGCATCACATCAGTGTTTACATGCACTATATTTTTGAACAAATTAAGCTTTGGAGCATCGCATTTGTGTTTGCATGCACTTGGTTTTCAAACAAATTAAGCCCAGTTCCCAGCCGGTACCTCAAGAGAGTGGGAGGGTTGAGTGCCCCCCCCCCCCCCCCAATCCCATCCCATGCAGCTGTGGGAGCACAGAGCTGGCAAATGGCACAAGAAAAGAAAAAGCAAAAGCAATTCAAAAGTGGAAGCAATTCAAAGGGGTGAACTACAAAAAGTCAGTGCCATCTGGTGGACAAAGAGGCTCATTACATATCTTTGAGTGCCTTTGTGTTTGCATGTAACAAATCCATGGATGCAGTGCTTTAATTCATGGTGAGCCAAACTAAACTACATCTGAGGAGTTTCTTTGTAACAGGGGGCAAGCTCAGGGCCAGATCTGTCATTGGCCCGCCCATCTGTTTCTGGGCCAACCACCCGCCTCCTTGTCTGCCACGTCTTGATACATAATTACGTTGTTAATTAGGCAGGAGGCTCCCCCTTCTTGCCCCAATGCCAGGGGGTGCTATTTGCAGCTCTGTTCCTCCTCTACACCGCAGCCCAATCCTCACAGATGGCATCAAGGTTAATATTACTCCCGGCCTCAGACTGGAGCAAACCCAGTCCAAAGTTGGGCTCCATGCACACACACATTCATACCACCTCCCCTCTCACAAGAGGCCTCTTCCACTCTGCCCTTCTCTCACCAGGGCCTCTGGCATACCGCCCATTACTGAGCCACACTCCACCAACCTGCTCCTCCTTGATGCCTCTTGGCCATCGGTCTTTGCTACTCACATACTGGCCTCACCACACAGCCCCTTTGTTTCCTGTGAGTTTTCCTACTCCGCATGGTCCAGCCTTGTGCCGAACCATGGCGTAACAGGTGCCCGCTCTGGGCTGATCTCAATGTGGCCCACACACCTGTTCCTGGGCCAACCACCCGCCTTCTCGCCTGCCACACCTTGTTGTTAATTGATTGATGTTAGTTAGCGGGAGGCTGCCCTTTTACTGCCCTGATACCAGGGAGTGCTATCTGCGGCTCTGTTACCTCCCTTACACTGCAGTCCATGCCTCGCCGATGGTACCACCGTTGTTGTAATCTGGCCCCCTCATTCTCTCTGGGCACTCCATGGCCCTGCCTCACTCTGTGCCTTCACTGGCACTTGGGCTTTCCTCCACCTTGTCTGGCACTGCTCCCTCCCTGGGGCTTCTTAACACTGCCCCCTCTCCCTGGGGATTCCCCACTGCTGCCCCCTCTCCCTGGGGCTGGGGTCAGTGCACCCTGAATGCTGCGCCCTTGCTGGCGCTGGGGTCCCCACACTACCATGAGTCCCCTTCTGAGGCTTCCTCCATCCCCATATAGCCTCTCCCAAGCCACCAGTAACAAACAGCAAAACAAAACACAAGCCCCTGGGCTATAACATAAAATCTAAGCCACCTGGCTCCAATCTCATCTTGCCACACCAGAGTTGCTTCAGCTGTCCCCACATCTCAGGCCATACCTGCAGTCTGGCCCCTTCTCTTTTGCACATTCCAGCAGGGCTCCTTCCCCCTTGGCTTCCAGCAGGAAACTGCCTCCTGGCCTCCAGCCTGTGGTATATATAGGAGCCAGGCCCTGCCCTTCCGGTCAGCTGACCAGGCAGGTATGAGTCACTAGCTCCCTCCGGTTACCCTAGCAACCAGCACCTGCATAGTTACTCTGGCTCTACAAGTAGCAGGCACCTTAATGCCCTGCTATACATGGGCTAATTCCACCCCACACCAGGCAACTCTACACTCACACACATATATATACGGGGCTCCCAGCCCTCTGGTTTCCCCCTCATTGGGGTTCCACACCTGCCCCCTCACTGAGGTGACCCCCCTCACTGGAACTCCTCTTCTCCACCCCCTCACTGGGGCCACAGGGCTTCCTTATCTGGTGGGGGCTCAAGTGGCCATAGCCATGCCTGCCACCCTTGCCCACAGTATTGTGGGGGCTAGGGGTTAAGGCACCCCAACCCACCTGTCACTGGAGTGGTAATTGGCCTGGTATTTCCTGGCCCAGTTTCCTGGTATGCCACTGGGAGCCCCACCAGACCACCCACTCCCATCTAGGTGCAGTTTTAGGTCATGTCCAGGACCAAGAGCCTCCAAACCATCCCCTTAAACTCCTGCCCTTACTTCCAGAATATTACATACAGCCTTGCAACCAGGCAATGTTTCTACCTTACCTGCCAGCAGGAAACTGCTGTTTATATAGGTGGCCAGAGATCTAAAATGGCCACCGCAATCAAGCACCTGCTGGCTGCTTGTCTCAGCCTTTAAAGTGGCAGGCACAAATAGTGCCCCACCATATACTTTAATGCACCAGAAAGACTTTGAAAGCATATGGAAAAACCGCTCACGCTGTCACACCATTGCAGTATAAGAAAGGGCAAAAAATATGTTGTGTACAAAGGCCCCAGAAGACCCCTGAGTAACTGAGAGTAATTGATACGAACCACAATCACCCACTGTGAGAGAGGGTATTAGATCTGCGGGGAAGGTGACAATAACTGGGCTATAGGGCTGCAGGTAGAAAGTAGATTGGACTAAAAAGAATAAAGTTGGCTGAAAAACAACTGCGGGGTTTGTGCTGGGTTCCTCCTGTCTCAAGACCCCTTACAATTATTAAGCAGTGAAGAGGTTTGTAATGCTTTTGTCTTCTGTGTTTGGATAGACTTGTGACCTTCAGGCTGGTAAAGAGGAGCTTTCACCCTCACTAGACTTGCAGTTGACATTAGACTGGGCATGTTTATACATACACACTTAATGCACATTAGCCCAATTATGGCACTTCAAGGGTGTGTGTCTACACATGCACACCCTTAATGCACCTTAAAATGACAATTTTGGGATATTCAAGCCTAAATTTGATGCCTACATAAAGCAGGTATCAAATTTATACCTAAATAGCTAAGTCAAACTAGTGAACATGTAGACGCACTAATGCACAGTAAAGTGGTGTGTGTCCATTGACTTGAAACTAACTCTAGTCCCAAGTTGGTCTGCACACCCATGTTAATGTGCCTTAGCACATGCACATGTGGACATGCACCTAAATTGCCTTAATGTACAGTAGGCTAATGTACATTGAGCTTAGGTGTTCATAAAAGCACGTGTAGACATGCCCACTGTAACTGATACTGGTCTTGGATCCACCCCAGAGAAAGAGAATCTAGAAATGCCAGGGACTCTATAGCCCTGCCAAATTGCAAAATTAAACATCAGTATAATACTTTGTGATAGAATAGATATGAGATCTGATTCTGTATGTGCCTTTGCTTCAGATTAATTTTTAAGAAGTTTTTGTTTCCAATCTATAAAATGAAATAATGCTTTAAATATGAATAAATCTTCCTACTCAATAACAAAATCTGAGTTTAGTTTAAACTATAGGAGTCTCTTCAGAGAAGTGTTAGCATAGCAAACTAGGAGAGAAGGTTAATACTGGAACCTAAAAGGAAATACTAGTTTAGCCTTCAGTGGGTTTGTCTACACCTGTATTAGATCTGGGAGCAATTTACTTCCAAGTGTATACACATGCAGAGAGGTGGAAGCAGATTTACTGCTAATGGCAGTAAACTGCTCTTGCTTCCTGGGGCCCCACAATGGGACCCTGCTGCTACCAAGGGGAGCTCTAGGCTCTGCCTGGATGGTAGCCCAAGGACTGGCAGGGAGCACTGGGCCAGGAGACAGCTGTCTTCTGGCCAGACCTGGGACATTGCTCCCTGCCCGCTGGGGGCTGCCTGATGCTGGGGCAAGGACAATATCCCCCTGCCCTGGCATCAGGGAGCTCCCAGCTCCAGTTCATTAATCAGGGCAGAAGACTTGGAAAGAGCTGCTAAGGAGAGGCTGGTGGGGCAGGTAACAGCAAACCCCTGGCTGGGTGGGCATTACCAGCACCAGCCCCACAATTGCGGAGCTGGAGCAGGGAGATATGAATCTCCCAGCACTCACCTCTTGATTGTGGAGCTGGCACTGGGAAATAAGGATCTCCCAACCTCCCACTCCCTCTTTGTGATGGCAAAGCAGGGGCTGAGAGATCAAGATCTCCCAGGTCCCACTCCCCAATCTTGATCTCGGAGTGGGGGGCTTGGAACTTCGTGCTGCTGAGGCAGGAGGATATAGTCCCCACCTGGGCTCCAGTAGTGGAGTCCTCCCTGGCAGCAGGCAGCTCCTGGGAGAAGGGAGCAATCTCCTGCCCCCTGATGGCCAGCTGACCTAGAGCAGATTTGCTCCTTGTCAGGCATCTACACAAGTGCTACTGCATAGTTAGTAATTGCAAGTTAATTTGCTACTTGCATTGCCTTAAGTTGCACGTTTTCAGAATGGAACGGGGAAAAGGGAGCAAAGGGAGCTTGTTCTAGGGCAGGGGTAGGTAACACTTTTTGGCTGGAGTGCCCAAAAACACCACAATGCCTACCTTGGAAGGTACCAGAGTGCTGGCATGCCATAAAAACAAAATGATGGCAGGGGTTACATGGCAGGATGCCCTGCTTGTACCCCTTGCCCCTGACCCAAAGCCCCTTCCCCCCCAGCCCTGCTGCCCTATGTCCCCCACCCAGAGCCCCTGCCCCCCCGCCCTTCTTGGGCTGCTCCCAGCAGGGCTTGCAGCCTCCTGGCTACCTGCAGGGAGCAGCCTGGGCTCCAGCAGCTACCCAGAGCCAGGGCCGGCTGCAGCCAGGAGGCTGCAAACAGCTGCGCTGGGCTCCAGAGCCCTGGCATCAGATCTGTACCAGTGCCTGCTTGCATGGCTTGGAGCAGGCAGTGGGGGAGGGGCCTGAGGCAGTGCAACCCCAGTCTCATCCCCACTCCTGGCATGGAGCTGTGACTGAGCTCTGGAGCCTGGTACAGCTGTTTGTAGCCAGCCCAGGCTCTGGGCAGCTACAGCAAGCAGCAGGCAGGCTACAAACAGCTGCACCAGGCTCCACAGCTCTGGCATCAGCTCCATGCTGGAGGCCACTGCATATGCACCTTGGTGCAGACAGCAGGGCAGTGCAGCCTGCCCCAAGGTGTAAATGCAGTCATCGCCAGCATTGTGATGGCCAGAACCAAAGGGGTTCATGAGCAAATTATAGCAAATAATATCTGCTTCTTGGGAACATCTGACAATTGGCATGACAGTTAATATTAGCTAAGGCAAAGCTTGCAAGATTGTAACCCGCAAAATGTATGTCACAAGTATGTCACAAATGTATGTCACAAGTATAACCGCAATGTTAAAATTAACTGTCTGTACTGATCATAAAACTAGACTGGGCCCCAAGAAGTGGAACTAGAAAACAGAACTGCAAACTTTAGCTAACCTAACAGTTTTTGCTTAAAGGTCAGTAAAATTGACAAACCTGACCACAAGGTATAATTAACACATTCTGAAAAATTCCAAAGAGGAAGTAACCAAGTGGCTTGAATTTAGGTGGAAAAAATGTTAATCTCAAACCCCAAAGCGATGTGGTATGATTTGCTTATTGTGTAAACCCAAGTTTAGGTAGTAACCTGTTATAATAATTTCTAACACCTGTAATCCCATAGGATAACAGCTGTAGAGTAAGATTGTGAGTGGCTCTGAAGCCAACAGATTAGCATAGGGCAAGATATAAAAGAACACACACATCAGGTGAGGAAGGATGGAACAGAATGGTCACTGCTGTTGCAAGCCCAGACTCCAGACTCCCAGTGTGAGCAAGGACCAGATCCTGACTAAGGGATCTTCCCGGTGCTCCCTCTGACAGCGTTGATTGGGGTGACTTCGCTGGATTTGGGGTTGATTGGGGTTGATTGATCCTGACTTCGCTGGATCAACTTGGTGTGTACCTGGCACTGAGGGATTATTGATAAGTTGCCAACCAAGTGGGAACTCTTTGTCAATTTGTCTATCTGTTGTTATTATTACTGCCAACTTTTAACTCTTATTGTTGTATCATCTGTTTATTAGATTAACCTTTCTGCTAACTGTTATACGTGTAAACCATATTTTGCTGCTAAAACATATTTTTGCTGCTATTTTGCTGCTATAACTAAAATTTATCTTTACTGTTATAAGTAAAACTTGTCTTTGCTTCACTCCCAACTCCGCCTCCTCAATGCCGAACCAAACAGCCCAGTGACTGTTACATTTGCAGCGCCCAGTCGGCCTGCAACCAAATTGATACACTCACAGTGCCCAGTTGGCCTGTGACACAGCATGGAGCTGATGATGGAGCTGTAGAGCCCGGCACAGCTGTTGGCAGTCTCCTGGCTGCAGTCAGCCCCAGCTCTGGGAAGCTGCTGCCAGCCAAGAGCCTGGGCTACTCCCAGCAGGCAGCTGGGATGCTGCAAGCCCTGCTGGGAGCAGCCCGGGCTCCGTCACTGACAGCAGCTACTCAGAGCCAGGGCTGGCCATGGCATGCTGAGCAAAATGGCCTTGCGTGCCATGCTCGGCATATGTGCCGGGTGTTGCCAACCCCTGTTCTAGGGGTTTCCCAAATGATGCTGGAGTGTGGAGTGAGTGAATTAGCTCCAATACACCCATCCCACCCTAAAGCAGGGGCTGAAAA